GCTTCAAAAGCAAATTCAGTATGGATTTAATAGCTGGATGTAAAATAGCTTCTTCAAAAGAGCTAGATCTGCTCACCTCAGTACCAGTCCTCTCTGCAATCATCTTATCATCTTTAAACACTCTCATGTCAAAGTCTTCCCAAGTAACTGTGAAAATCAAAGGTCAAATGATTGTAAAATTATCAAATGTAATCTTAATCCTGCACAAAAGTTATTCCCTATCAAGATAAAGAGAAGGCTCGTTAATCTTGGGGACCTAGATAAAGTGCTCACATTTTTAAGAGCCACTATTCAGACTATTTGACATTTCGACATTGCAAACTTAAAAAAACCTTCGTCAATCCATGGCTGTTTATTTCACTCATTACCAAAGAGCACACATTTTCTTCTGTCACCTATGGATGCAACCAATGACACACAAAAATACAAGTACTATTTTTGCTACTGCTTTTACATGTCTACCAATAAATCAGAAAGAACAATTACACTTCTACACAGGTTACTATCCTATTAGATTTTGATGCTATATTCATACATTCTTTAGCAAACAGGTTATCAGAATATTCAAACTTATCAGGTAGAAGGTCCTATCCTGATTGAGAACCACGTTCTCACAACTAATTTACAGGGAAATGTGTAGCAGCTAAGGGGGAGAATTAACAATCAGATCTTGGGAGTCAAAGGGCTAAATCAGGGCATAAAGTTTATGGTCCCAATAGTCAATAGCTATTATTGCCTCACAATTTGCTTAATTCCAAAAATAATTGCAACATTTGTGATTGATACTCAGAGCAAGAAAAATACCTCTTTAAACTCACGCGCCCCTACTTGAAGAAGTGTATTTTTTATTTGACCTGTTTGCACCACAAGCTGACTTGTCCAAAAAAGGCCATGAAAACCACAGGGTAAGAGGCTGGACTTACATGGAGATTTATGGCTCTACTTTGTGTAACCAAATCAATCACGTGTAAGGGACACAAAATGACACACTGTACTTTCTGTGACTGGTACTTATTTCCATTAATAAATAAGGAAAAATGGTTGATGAAATGTCTGGATGCAAAATCGTAATTCATTGCCCATTTTTCCGTTGTCTGAGGGCACGAGTAAGGTCAAGTCTATCCTATCTGAATGCAGAAATTACTGTGAGAGGCTGCATCTCCACAACAGTGTCATAAAACCCCTTCCCCTATCACCCCTCCCCTGCCACCCGCAGGTCTTGCTCTATAAGGTGACCAGCATCCAGTTGTATTCAATTTTCAACTGCCAATACTTACTGTCCAGACTTTGTCGTTCCCTTCATAGTCTAAATCCTCCAATTCAACAATTTCCACCCTCTATCCCAAAGGATTCTCAAAAGATCCAAGTCTACCTGTCCCAATTTCATTTGCTCCATCAGAAATCTAGAAATAATTAATATTATAGTTAATTGTACTTAAATAAACTCAGGGTATCGTCGACGAGAGGGGAAGGGTGCCTATCTGAGGGGAAGAGGGCGCTGTTAATCTGAGTATGGAATTAAAGAGTGCACTTTTTTCTTTCAGAAACCTTCATCAGGAGGACTGCTTTTAGGAAGATGTATGGAAATGTGACTATGAGAAATTCTGCATAATTTTCAGATAATTTTTCTTTCTTGTCTACAAAATGGCCACCTGAGCCCTAAGGCACCTGGGATGCAACTGAAGCAACTAAAGCAAGTTAAGTAAGTAAAGCAGCTCAAGTGGGTGAGGGATTTCAAGAAAGTAAAGCACATTTGGTAACCAGAGCTTCTCAAGTAAGGTGCTTTTGGTGCTTCACCGAGATGCTTTAAGAACTTGAAGCATCTGAGTAAAGCAGCTGAGGTAAGTAAAGCACATGAAATATTTGAAGCACCTCAGGTCAGTAAATTACCTCACGTAAGTCATGCTCATGGTCATTATGGTCTGTTGCACTATTAGGTGTAAAAGACATCACATTGTCTGCCTAGTGCTCCCTGTTGCGTGCTGCTGCCTTGGCCACATTCCAGCTCTTCCACCCTCCCTTGTTTCCTCTCTTTTGACAGTCCTTCCTCAAGTGGTCTTTGGTCTTGGTCTTTGGACTCCCAAAGAATCACCTTCAAACATCTTTAGCACCAGTAACATTGAAAAAACCCAATTACTGGTGTTCCTTCTGCAAAAATCTTTCCTTCGAAGGAAAAGTAGCATTTTGTTCACAGTGCGAGACAACTATGAAGTTCACTTCTAGTACTGTACAACATAACTTCAATCAAAACTGCATGAACCCTACTTGGGACCTACAGCTTAACCTTGTAGCTTAACTATCTGCATTTAACTGTGCCCAAGGTCAGCCTTCTCTGATTAAGCGAGGGTAAAAGCTTCAAAGGAGAAATGCTATGTCAAGACACCCAAAGAAGAAAGGCAGTCTACTATCACTCCAGTTCAGCCATTGTACAACAGTTTTGTTCAACTCACCCCCGCAAACCTCAGTTTCTGACATTTGCAGGTAATACCAAATAGGGTGACAAAGATGTTTGAGCACAATCAGACAACTAGATGCAAAAAAGATAGCAAGTTTTCGCACCTCTTGGTGAGGTATGGTGCAGAAAATAACCAAGAAAAGAAGCAAGAATCCATGAGTTTTGCATACTGATGTGAAGAACAGCTCACCTTGGTGCCATGACCAAGATCACTGTGGAAACTATATCGCCACTGAGAGAGTCAGAAGCCAAGCCATCAACCACAAGCGAAGGCAAGTAAGAGAGTAATGACCAGCATTATATTATAAAAGAAGCCGAGAAGGAAATCAACAAGCTAAAGTGCTGCTTGGAGGATTGTACCAAGATGGAAATCGTTAGGAAACGAGCTGAGACTACTATCGCAAAGCTGTCCGATCTTGTTTCCCAAGCCAAAGAGTTGAAAATTGAGGGGGGATTGTCGATTTGACCCGTGAGCAAGTGGAAGAAAGATATCAAATCCAAGTGTGCTGCATTGGTTAGCAACAAGGAGAGGCTGAGAGGGTGTTTAGGTAATTGAGGAGAGGAAACTAGACAAGGGAGAGAAGATTTGAAGCCATGGGCAGAAGATGAGCACCGTTTCTGCCACCTGAGTAAAAGACAACAGGAGCACGAGTGCGAATTGTGGAAAGGGAAAACTTGCAGGAGAATTACGTGTAGTGGACAAGAAATTAGAGACAGAGAAACACCCTGTTTCCAGCATTAGAAAATGACCAAAATTTAGGATTACACAGTTGAGATTTGAAAACATGTTTCATATACAAGTTGATGCCAAGTTGATTTCCATCAAAGAGAAATTGCTGTATCTTCTACATTCTGTTGGCCCGAAGGTCAGAGACGGAATAGCATACCTAAAGCCTGGAACTGTTGGTTACAAGACTATGTGGGATTGCTTATAAAAGGAACATGGGCATACAAAGGTCGTTGTCGATGAAAACATGGATAAAATCCTTATTTGTTCTCAGTCAAAGGATTGAATTACTTCAGGGTTCAAGAATTTTATAAGAGACTTAGCAGGAACTATGATGCACTTCAAACCCTGCAGGAAGCTCAAAAATTACGAATTGTCTCGCGTCAAACCTAATCTAGTGGATGACAATTGGGAAGAATGGTCCATGGAAGATTTGATTGAAGCACCTGTTCGCACAGAAGACAGGAGACAAGCAGAAGCCATATTGCCCTTTGTACCAAACACATGATCACTTAAGTGTGAACTGTACCAGAGTAACTGCATTGGTGGACTCGAAGAAGTACTTCATCTGTGTTTTAATTGCAGGTGTTCAAACCACAGAGCAGACCAATGCCTTACGCGTGGTCGTGTAAAGTGCAAATACAGGCATCATACCAGCATATGTGATAGACAGGAGAGGAGAAACAGCAGCAGCCCAAACACAGCATCACTAACAGGCTACACTAATTACTTGGAGAAGAGAGTGCTTCCTACAATTGTTTCAGTCAGCATTAAGGGGCAAGTCCACTTGTTAAACTTAAACCAAATAGGTCACGAGATGCGCAAGATCTAGACAGTCAATGGAACCAAAGTCCAGTCAATGCCAATCTTTGATTCCCACATTAGGTCTCTGGATGGAAGATCTTCGGAACAAATTTAAATTTCCTGGCCCGAAATTAGCTCATTTTGTTTCTGTGAGAAGGCCAGACATGAACCAGCTGAAGTGGAACTACTCGCATGTGCAGGACAAGAGCTTCTACATGGTATCTACATGAGAGCACCAGATACATTTCATTCCTGGAGCTGGTGTTTACAGCAGAATAGAGACAGAGATTGTTCAAAGGGAAGCAGGATAGCCCCTGCTAGAGGACACAACTTTCGCTTGGGTGGGTCATGATAAAGATGAATAGGCGAGTGGCAGGACCTGCATGTGCCTGAGAGAGGTGAGTGACTACGAGAAGCTGTACAAGCTTGGATGTACTGGCAGTTGAGGAGCCAGCTAAAAATGATCAGTTGGACATTCTGTGTGACTTCAAAGAGAGTGTTGTGTGATGAGAGGACTGGAGGTACCAGGTCAGCTCCCCTTGCATTCCTGGAGTGACATTCTCAAAGACAAATAAGAAATGAAGCACAGTGTCTTCAGAATGTGAAGAGAAAACTTTCTAGATATGAGAAGCTAAAAAAGAGAAATGTGGGGGCATTGTGGAAGAGCAAATCAGAACAGCAGTAATCGAGAAGGCACCAAAGCAAAGTGCAGTCACCACAAAGGTTTGCATGGTGTTCGACACGAGTGTTAAGCCCCGCCCCTTGGCTAACAGCATCGACTTATTAGACCGTGAATGCCAACTAATCCACTTCTTGGACACATCGAGAGGGCATTTCTGCAGATAAGTGTTAGAGAGTATGGCAGAGATTCGATCAGTTTCCTGTTCAATGTCAAAGGATTAGACTAGCATTAAGACTACCCAAGTACCGACTGCAGTTGAAGCAAGCCCCTTCTTGCCGTGAGCCACTCTGCAACGTCACTTTGAGAAGCAAGGGCCATAATTTGAACATACAATGAGAGCACTCAAGGAGAACACTTGCACTGACAATCTCATGAAAATAAGGGGAGATCAGGAGAAGCTTGTGCAGTTTAAAGAAGAAAGGACTCTCATACTTGAGTCAGCTAAGTTCCCAGTTCATAAGTGGCAATCCAATGTAAAACCTCTTAAGAGTGAAAACATGCCAAACCCAGGCAAGAGTCTTAGACACACTTGGAGCAAAGATGATGAAACACTGGAGCTACTTACAAAGTCCTTTCCACAGAAGCAGCCTGTGACTAAGCGACTATCCTTAGTTACTTAGGAACTCTGTATGGCCCACTTGCGATAATCTCGCCCACTGTGGCTGAAGGAAAGCTTATCTATCGAGAAGGATAAGACATGAAGAAGAGCTAGAATGTAGTAGTCTCCACTCCCTTGAAGGACCAAGGGCAGAGGTGGCTAAAGCAACCTAGAGAAGTGACTACCTAGAAGCGTTGCTACATTCATTGGAGAAGTGGAGGCAGTCCATTTACATCTTTTCACATATTCCAGCATTTTAGTATGTTGTGCAGCTTTTGCGGTCGTAGCACAAGGGCAGGCATGGTCAAAAAGGCTCCTAAGATCAAAGTCAAGAGTATCAAAGAGAAATACTTCGACAACCAGACTGGAGCTTAGGAGTGGTCATATGGTAGTGAGCATGGCAAAGAGTCTTTCCACTGCTCTCCAGTGATGGCTCGTCACGTAAGTCACCATTCAGATGGACAGTATGGTAGCCTTGTAGTGGATAAGCTGGTAGGGGACAGAGGGTGTTCGTGGCCAACAGATTGAAGAAAGCAGAAACCACTGCTCCAGGTAGCATCACTTGGAAGTACTGCCCGTTAGATTTAAATCTGGCAGACCTTGGAGGGCAGAGGAGCAACCATTGCAAAGATGGAAAGAGGAAAATGGTTTGAATGTCCAGATTGACTCTTAGACAAGATGGAGTAGCCACAGCAGCCAAGGCTGAACAGCACCAAAGACACAGATAAAGAGAGGAAGGCCACTCAAGAGGCAGCTCTTTGCACACGAAAGCGCAAACTGGATGAGCAGGACGTGTTGCTTGAGAGAAGTACCTACTGGTGAACAATGTGAGTAGCAGCATGGGTGTTAAGGTTCATCAGCAACTGCAAAGTGAGGAGAAACAACTTAAAGAAAATGTCACGTCCGTTACAGACTGACAAAATCATCACTGCACGTAACTACGGGGTGAAAAGACTTCACAAAGGAGATGAAGCATGTCCATAGTCCCCAGGATGAAAGCTAATTAAAGATGAGCATACAGGTGTTCTCAAGTGCGAAGGCAGAATTAAAGGATACAGGTTCACGTAGCTTCCTGGAGGACCACTTCCTGAGAAGATTCTTGCACACACACATAATCAGGTCGTGCATCTTGGCACTGCAACCATGATGGCAAGTGGGGAGAGAGAGTTTGTGGGTACCAAAGATGAGGCTAAAGTCCAGAAGGTCATTAAGAAGTGCAATGTCTGCAAAGTACTCTCTACCAAACTAACCAGAGTACTGTCAACAAGTGCCTTTCCAAGATACAGAACGTAGCGCAGCAGACCATTTGAGGTGACAACAGTAGAGTTTGCCAGACTGTTCAGTTACAAGCTTGGCGAGAAAGAAGAAGGAAAGTGGTATGTTATTATTTTCACTTGTGCCAGCTCCAGAGCAGTTCATTTAGAAGTTGCAAGTACCCAAAGAGCAGACAAATTCAAGAACAACCTTAATGCCCTTGTCACGCATCAAACCAGACTTGCATCATCGTCATGGATAATGCCAAAGTGTTTAAGGTCACAGAGACTAAATCAAGATTGTTGGGAAAGGTGACAAGCTGCAGAATTACCTAGCACGTGAGAACATAAGTCAGAAGTTTTACCTTGCAAAGTCACCCTGGTGGTGAAGAATGTGTGAGAGACTGATCAAGGAGATCAAGAAAACACTACACAAGACCTTACCAAGGTCACATCTTTCCTATGAAGTGTTTGAAGCAGTCCTCGTGGATGTTGAAAGAAATCTGACTATAATTCCTCACCCCCCATGATGTATGTTCAACCAGAAGGAGGGAGGAGGAAGAGCTTTCCCCAAACATGATCCTGTGGGGACGAAATGTGTATCCAGTGGACGACACTGAAGGCTAAGGTGCAGAGAGGCTAACAAGGATGACCAAGCAGCTAGAAGATGCTGAAGACCACGCATAGAAATGCTGGACAAGAAAGTGCATGTACGGCCTAATGGAAAGCCACAGGCTTAACAAGGAGAGAGGAGGTATGCCTGAAGTTGGAGAGATTTTACTTGCCGTTGGACAAGAGAAGAACCGTGGGGAGTGGAAAAAGGGGTAATGTTCTCTCACAAAGGACACAAGATTGAGCAGGCACTCCAGCTGGTTTGCCCGTGGAAATAGGAGCAGCTGAAACTATTGTCCAGCCTCATGAGGGGAGGAGAGAAATTAACTGAATAAGTCAAAGACCAAGACCAAATGTGGCTCAAACGGCTGCTCAGAGAATTGTCGAAAAATTGCAAGCAGAACACATGCAAGCAAAATCAGACAACCCGACACAACAAAAAAGGCCAGTTTCAGTAGGAGTTGTCTAGAGTTTATTGTCACTTATGAGTCCTCCTAGTGAGTTATTGTGCGGATAATAAACAAGAAAACAGAGAGTCTGGGAGTACGAGACTTACTTAGTATTGATGAAGAGCCAACTACCGAAAATACCCTGCCAAACATTGGCACCAGCAACATCAAAGAACTCAGTTGCTGTTGATCCTTCTCAAAAACATTCCTCCAAAGGAAAAGTAGCAATTCATTCACAGCAGAAGACCACCTTGAAGTTCACTTCCAGTAACGTACAACAGAACTTCAATCAAAGTAGCACGGACCCTCATTAAAATCAACATCTACATCTATTTCTCAAAGTCAAACACCTCAAGTAAGTAAAGAGTCTGAAGTAAGGCACATGAAGGAAAAAAGACCGGAAAGAACCTCAAGTGGGAAAAGCAACTCAAGTGAGTAAAGCACAGGAAGAAAGGAAAACACCCCAAGTAAATAAAGAACCTGAATAAAATACACTTCCTGAAAGCAAGTAAAGTACCTAAAAAAGTGAGGGATCTCAGGTAACAAAAGCACCTACAATAAGTAAAGTACCTGAAGCGAGTAAAGTACCTAAAGTAAGTAAAGCACGTGTAGTAAGTCAAGTACGTCTAGTAATTGAGGCATCTCAAGTAACTAAAGCGGCTCAAGTAGGTGAAGGATCTCAAGAAAGTAAAGCACATTCAGTAAGTACAGCACCTCAAGTAAGGTCCTTCAAGTACTTGAGGCATCTAAGTGAAGCAACCAAAGTAAAGCACGTGGAGTAAGTGAAGCCTTTAAAGTAACTTAAGTACCTCAAGTCAGCAAAGCACCTCTAGTAACTCATCGTCATGATCAGCATAAGGGCGTCAAATTGTCCACCTCACCCTCTCCCCCCCATTACGTGCTTCCGCCTTGGCCACACTCCAGCTCTTCTACCCTGCCCTTTTCTTTCTCTCTTTCAACAGACCTTATTCAAGTGTTCTTTGGTCTTCCTCTCCCCATTCGACCTTTTGGTTTCCACCCCAATGCCCTAAAACAGTCATTCACAACCTCCCTCCTCAGTAGATGTCCTAACCAGTTCCACCTTTTTTCACACCTCCTAGCTAATTTCACCAACAAACAAACAAAGACTTTATCAGCCCTCTCCGAGGGGATCTTCTGGATAAGTTATCATCATGATATGAACAATAATACAGTAGAGACTTACGAAGTATCAACTACTAGAACAATGATATTACTTAAGGATGACAATGATTATAAACGAGCTATTTAACAATTTGGACAATAAATATTTCTTTAAGTTAAACTTCAATAACCTTACACTGAGACTAGACTAGATATTAGATGGAATAGTGTTCCCCACTCTTGCTCCACAGTTTCTAAAGGATTGTTGTGTGAGTGAGGTGCGGCATTTGGGTAGGTTTAAGCTGTCTTTGTTCCTGGTATCATATCTGTGACCTTAGAACGAATCTGATAAAGCTCGGTTAAATACTGGGGAGCTAAGTTATTCCTGATTTCAAACATCATTGTGGCCTCCCTGATGTGAAGAGGGTCAGTTACAGGAAGAAGCTTGAGCTGTGTCATTGCCGGGATAATATGATCAAACTTCCTTTTGCCACAAAAGAGACTGTTCCTGACCATACCATAGAACAATAGAACAATTTACTGAAGAGTAGAGAGTAAATGATGGTTAATAAGGTAGATTTATCAAAGAGGTGCTTTATCCTACGTATCATGGAAAGTTTATTCCTTAGCTCAGAAGCTGGAGATTCAATGTGTTGGCTGAAGGTCAGACCACTGTCCAGTATTACGCCAAGATCCTGTATGGAATTCTCAGCTGTGAGATGTTTTTGAGGATTGAGGAATGTCAGAGTAGGGATTGATGTCTTCGAAAGCATCCTACAAGAACCAAAGACGCAGAACTTGGTTTTACTGGGATTGATAAATAACCCGTTGGTAAAGCACTGGGAAGCAACCCACACAAGATTTGACTTGAGGTCTGTAACTCCAGCTAATGTGTCTTTACTTGCAAAGGAGAGTTAGAGCTTGGAGTCATCTACTTTGGATTCCACATTTCAGGTGCTTCAGACAGATTGCAAATCGTTTGTGTAGAGATCAAATAACAAGGGTCCCCACAATTGAACCCTGGGTGACACCATGACTGAACGTTAATGGGTTAGATCTGGAACTATTTATTTGCACAAACTGCTGTCTATCTGTGTGGTAGCTTTCAAACCAGGATAAGGCCTCTGGGGAAACATCGAGGGTATTGAGCTTGGCCAACAGGATCTTATGTTGAGTACCATCAAATGTTTTACTTAGGTCAAGCATAGAGATGCCAGTCACCTTTTCTTTCGTCAACTGCACTTAACAGGTGACTGGTAAAAAGGAGACCGAGTGTTTTAATGGAATGATGCTATTTATTGCCACTTTGGTGGATGGTCATCCTCTTGTTTAAGGTCAAACAGCAGACAAACTGGTCGTGGACAACGAGTTCCCAGACCTCAGATAAGACTGGCAACAGTGACGTGAGGTGGATGTTACTGACTCTTCATGATCACCATGTTTAGGGTGAGACGCCACCTCTGCTATTTTCCAGTCCTTTGGAAAGCAACCAGGTGTGAGAAAATGGTTAAATATCTCGGTAATTACATGCAGGATATGCGGCAGGACACATTTGATAACATTAACACCGATTTTACCACAACCAG